AAAAAAAAAAAAAAAGTCCAGGGGCTGGGAAGGAAGCTCAGTGGTAGAGTGCTTGCCTTGCATGCATGAGGCCCTGGGTTCGATTCCTTAGCACCACATAATCAGAAAAAGCCGGAAGTGGCCTGATGGCTCAAGTGATACAGCACTAGCCTTGAGCTGAAGAGCTGAGGGACAGTGCCCAGGCCCAGAGTTTAGGCCTCATGACTGGCAAAAAAAAAAAAAAAAAAGTCCAAGTTAAGCCTAGATACTGAAAAGGTCTAATATCTGATCTGATCATGAGGTTTAGTGGTAATAGCTGGCATATTTCTTCCTTAGTACTGGAATTATGCTAAAAACAACTCTGAGGATCTCAGGAGTAGTACTCATGTCAGAGAACATGGGATAACACCATACATAGTGTCTCAGCACAAGCAAACACAATTGAGGATGAGAACTTGTTTTGGCATTGCAAAACAAGCCAGCCAGCCTTGGTGAATAGTTCTGAGGCTATGTCAGTTGTAAATGGTATTCAGTGGAAACTTCCTTGTTCTCTTGCTAATCTTCTGCTGCCAAATAATTATATATATTTGTCTCTCCAGGGCTAAAGTCTAACTGCCTGGTATCAATTTTATCCCAAGTCCTGGCCCTTTTTGAAAACCCCATCACATTTGGGGTTTGAAACTCATAACTGCAAACTTATTAGGCAGTCAGTTAACTGCTGAAGTATATTTGCACTAATTATTTTGAGACATTTCTGCTGCCCCCAAGGCCATGAGTAGACCATAGTTCCTCCAATAGTTGGAAGACAGGTGCACGTCTGACTTCTTGCATTGAGCTAAGGTCTTGTACACTTTTTTGCCTGTGCTGGCCTGGGACTATGGTCCTCAGAATCTCAGTCCCCCCAGACAGCTGGGAGCCAGTGGTATCTGATCTATCCTTGGCCTTAAAACAGACCACAAAACAACCTAGAACTAAAGATGTTTAAAAAATGTTAAGGTTACTGTGTGCAACTAAAGGAAAAGACAAGTTTCTTACTCTGTAAATCCTTTCCACTTCAGGAAATATTCTACTTTCCCATTCACTACACGTCGGTCCAGTACTTTTTCCACAACAAATTCTTCAGGCTCTGCTTCTTCAACTTTTTTACTCTTTCCATTTTGTTTCTTTCCCATTTTTTGCTAAGAAAGAAATTAAGAAACATTTTTAAAAAGACTTGGAGTATATTTTAAAGGCCAAATCACATGTATTGTCACACTGTGTACTTATTTATAACTCAAAAGTATTAGAAAATGATAAAAAAAATAGTAGTGACAAGTCTTACTACATATGAAGATCTAGTAAACAGGTTAAAACTAGCCCTAGGACACACATGCTTTCCCAATCCAAGCACGAATGTTAAAAGCCTCAAGGATATAGAAAAAGATTAACAGCAGAATGAAAACATAGGCTTAGAACTCTTATGATGTAGGGTTCTGAGAGCCAGCTCACCCAGGCAAAGTTAGGCTAGAGACCCTATCTGAAAAATAAATTACAAGTAAAATAATGGGGGTGGGGAGGAAGGATGGAACCACAGGGAGAGAGAAAATTAACTTTAAGACCAAAACTAACCATGAAGAAGCCATGGGTAAGTTAAAAACAGGACAAGAATATTATTTCATAATTTTTATCTCTATATATTTCTCTTGACCACTCAAACTGATAATTAGGCAAAAATTCTGGGTCCTTTTATTTCTTGAAAGTAGAAGGAAAAAAAAACAACCCACTTTCCCCCTGGTTACTGAAGAGACATAATGTAAACTGGTAGCCAAGAAAGTTGACTTTAAAGAGGGGCATGTTGTTCTATTCCTTTTTGTTTTAGCATATTACTTAAGTAGGATCTTAAACCAACTGTTTCTAATAGACCAAAAGATAGTTGCTATGGAAAGAATAAAATCAGGTAAAAAAATTAAAACCTGGCATGGCTAATTCCCTAATACAATGTGCTTAGTCATCTCATCTAAGTACTATTCCAAAAAAAAAAAAAACAGGGGCTGGAAATGTGGCTCAGTGGTAGAGTGCATGCCTAACATGCATTAAGCCCTGGGTTCAATTCCTTAGTACCACGTAAACAGATAAAGCTGATAGTGGCACTGTGGCTCAATTGGTAGAGTGCTAGCCTTGAGCAAAAGAAGCTCAGGGACAGCACCCAGGACCTGAGTTCAAGCCCCAGGACTAGCCAAAATAAATAAATAAGAAAATAAAAACAAACAGAAAATAAAAGCCCCAAATAAACCTCCTAAATTGTAGACAGGAAAGCCACAGTGTGCAACCAGAGATTTTTTTTTTTGGTATACTATTTTTGAATCAGGTTTAGGATAGTTTTCATTAACCAAGCATTTTAGGACTTAGCCTTCTGTCTCAATTTAGTACAAGAAAGGTAAGAGATAATAGAAGAACAAAGCAACTGGAAATGACAAATTTTTAGTAGATATTGGTCTTAAATAAAAAAATTAGCTACTGTCCCTGAACAGAGGAGACTAAAGGACTTTAAAAAAAGAGAATAAAAAAATAACAAAAACCACACATCCTTGAAGAAACAATGAAAAAAGTGACAAAAAATAATGAATTAAAACAGCAGGAAAAGAAAGGCTGCTTTTACTCCAGCACATTCACAAGCTACTTTCACTTTTTTCTCTTAAATGTATGTAGTTGGCTCAAGCTTCATGCACGGGGTGGAATTCGAAGCCAAAATATATTCCAGTTTTTAATTTAAAAGATACTCTGTCCTATTAAAATTCTATCACTAATTATTTTAAAATGAAGTTAGATTTGAGAACCTTTAAACGGGTCAATCTGTGATCCTTTAAACCAGCAAATAGACACAGAAGACTACCAAACAGTGAGCAAAAACAACTTAATTTTAGTGAGTTTCAATTGGCTTGCTCTCTGTATCTTTATGTATACTCAAAGCCTCATGGGCAGCTAAATCCTTCCCTATCCAATACCTGAGTAATACTAGTATCATATAGTAATGGCAATTGTCTTCAGTTTGTTTTGTTGACTGTGAATATAAAGGTGAAAATCCTGAAGAAGCATAGAAGATGCTTGATGCCTTTTTTATTATTGATGTCTTAGATCTATATGAGAATCTACCAGACAGGCTTTAACATTACACATCCCAATCTGTTCTGCAAAATATTGGACATCATGTATAATCTAAGGTTGGAGACAAATAAAAATTTACCAACTTGTCCTTTTTAATGTTAAACTCTAACTTACTAATACAATGTGTCAGAATTAAAAACTGTGAGAACCATACCTTAAGAGTTCCATGATTTCCATGGAAATACTCTGATTTTAAAAAAAAACCAATTTTAAACTTGACAATGGAAAAGCATGTCACTATACATTTCTGTAATTTTTTAGAAAACCAAAAATGCAAACTGTGGTTTTAATAAAGTCCTGGAAATGAATTGCTTTAAAGACATAGATTCAGTCTTTTCCTGGACACATTTGTGATTTTTGATGATATAACACAATAATATTTAAGGTTCTTCTGCAATTTACAGTAATGAAGTTTAAAGACAGGATAAAGGGGCCAAGGTTAGTAAGGCTTTTTAAAATGCATTATGATTATTGACTTGGCTTAAGGCATTACTTGTCTCAGGTTTTTGTCTCTAATTTCCTCCCACCCCCCCAAATATTACTGGGGTAGCTTGGAAATACAGGAGTGCAAATTTCTCAAGAGATGTGTTATAATTTCTGTCAAGAAAAGGTCCTTATGTACTTTCATATTACTTACCAATGTAGTTTTGTTAGAGGCCATTTTTAATTGTAGACTTGAAGAGCTATTACTAGAAAAATGCATGACAGTTAGAAAGTGTTCTTGACACATAAGACACAGCTAAATACAAGTACTGTTTGGATATCAATATTCAGGCAGGGGGTGGCACATTTCAAACGGATACAAATCCGAAAGGCAGGTCTGACTTCTTGCATTAATCATTACTGTTATTAATACACCCAAGCATATATTATCAAGGGTTCTAAACCAACTTTAGACTACAAAAATGTTGTTAGGCGATTGAGATGGTATATGGCCCTCAAACGACAATCCTATTTGCAACGAAAATCTTGTTTATAACGAATTCAATATTCAATTAAAAAAAAAGGTATTTCGCTTCAAAACCAGGCACAATTACAAAATTAAAATCGGTGAATTCCCATGCATCTTTTTCTCTAGACTTCTGGACGAGTCGGAACTTCTCTAGAAAATTCCAACTTTATTTCTTTTCAGAAGCCGTCCCCCCCCAACCCCCCCACCCCTTCTCAAATCAGTTAATAATGAAAAAGGTACCTCCCCCCCAACCCCGCCCTCCGAAGACTCGGGCCTCCCAGCTGGATTCCAACGCCTGAAACCCCGGGGCCTGGCGCCCGCCAGCGCGGGCCGCGTGGTCAGCGCCTCCGCGGGGAGAAACAAAGGCGGCGGCGGCGGGGGCTCAAGGGCACTGCGCCACAGGCCCGCGCTCCCCCTCCCGCCGCGGCCACGTAGCGGAGCGCGCGCCGCAGCCTCCGTCCGGGCAGCGGGCCGCAGGCCTTCCCCAGGCAAGGCACATTCCGCCCTCCCCGGAGGCCTAAGTCGCCGAGCCGAGCGAGGCGGCGGGGCGGGAGTGCCCCCCTTCCCGCCCGGGAACGGGGGAGGGGAGCGCCCGCTTTGTCTGGAGACGAGGCGGGTGTCACACCACGGCCCTCCTCCTCCTCCACAGTCCCCGGCCTTCCTCTCGGTTAACCGCCCGCGCGGCGCCAGGCCCGCCTGGGGAAGGGGGGGGGGGAAAGCCCGCTCGGCCGCACAATTGTCCCTGCAGCTCCTGACACTCCACCGGGCGGGGACCGGAGGAAATCAGGGATCCCGAGGGGTGCAAGTGGCGTCTTAAACCACGACCACCGAGCAATACGGTTACCAGAAACCAAAACACAAAAAACAAGTCACCGACTTCACCACCTCAGATGCTCCGGGTCGCGATCCTGCAGCAGCAGCAGCGTCTACGGCCCGCGGGCTTCCAGCTCCAGTCACATCCGAGGGGAGGGGGCTGGGGCGCCGCGCCGGCCGTGGTGGGGGAGGGGTGACGCCGCCCACGCCGGGCGGCCGCGAGG